AGCATATGTTATACATATAATAGCATATATATATATATATATGTTACAGAGTTTTTTATAAAATTGTAAAAGAATGGCTACCGAAATTGCACAACTGCCCCACATCGAAGTGTTTCATCGTGTAATGGAACTTCCAGTAATTGAAAGTGCAATATCAAAATCTACAGCAACATATTTGCGTGTGAAAGATTGCAACCAGTTGGTTCATTGGGCACTAACCACTGCAGAAACTTCTTTAAGCAATGCAACGAAGCAAGCAGTACCTATTGCTGCTCCCATAGCTAAGAAACTCGAGAACCCTATACACTTCTTTGACCACACGCTGTGTCTTGGTCTCGACAAAATCGAAGAAAAAGTACCATTGGTTAAAGAGAAACCCGAGCAGGTTAGAAATCAATCCTTTTTCCGGTAAACGAAATAAAAATATTTAATCGGAATGTAAAGAAGCATTCAAAATTGATTCGTGATATCTTATCGTAAAATGCGATAACGAAAATTTTTTAATCATAATACACGATAGATTTTTATTATATTCTTATCATATCGGATGTAATTCTTTTGATTTTTATTTTCATACTATGTCTTCATTTATTTTATATTATTAAATAATTTTAATATTATTATGAATGAAATATTCAATATTCAATAAGTGCACATATGATATATGATATATAAATGCACTTGTTTAAAGTTGGAAAATTTTAGAAACAGAATATATCAATTTTTATGAGTGAAAAATATTATAAATAAAAATATGAAATAATTATATGAATATTTCTAATCGTATAATCATTTTATTCATTAGATTTTAGAAAATGCTTATTCGCTAGCACGTCAAACCGTTCAACCAGCTGTTTCAAGTATTTCGCTTGTTAATAATTTAATAATTTCCCAAGCTTTAAGTTTGAGAGATATAAGTTGGAACAAAGCGAATCAGATTTTAGAAACACAATATGGCAGTGCAGCTGTTAGAGGTTTGGACAGCACAGCTGATATTGTTGATAAATTAATTGATAAATTTTTTCCTGCTACAAAAGATGAACAATCAATAGGTAAATTATTTTAAAAAAAATATTATTTATAATTTGTATATTTTAATCAATAATAATCAATATCGTCATAATGTTGCAATAATATAATTTTTTCTATTTAATATAAATTAGTAATAAAAATAAAAAGAGAGATTGAAATTTCAAATTAAATTTGTAAATTTATTATATTTATTTATGTGTTTGTATTTTTTCATACAAAGTTTTTTTAATAATATAAATCTATATTAATAATAATATATTGATAATTATTATATTATCAATACAATATTAAATTATATTTTGATTTTATTTTAGTGGTGAATATAAATGAAGAAGACAAACTTCTTCACACCTTACAAACTGTTGGACGTTTATCTAATAAAGCTGCTCGTCGCGTATATTCGAATATAATTCTTCATCTTGGAACTATTAAAGCAGATAATTTAAAATCTTATATCAAAAATATAGTACATTTTTTGCAATTAACGAATCGTCATGCTATAAATGATGAAATACACACGAATGAAATATACACGAATGAAGTACATATGAATGAAGTCAATTCGAAAGCTTCATCGAATGCAATTACAAAAAAATTTAATTGATATTATTAATGAAAAAAGAAAAATTTCCACCGATTCCATTAATTTTCTATTTATTTTTTGCATACATTTTGTAATAAAAAAATCATACTTTTTTAAAATTCATTTTATATATATATATATAACTAGTAATAGTGTTATATATTACTTTTAAGAAATTACATTTGTACTTTTAGGAAAATACATTTGTACTTATAGCGGTGAAAAATAAGGTTTTTCATGAATAAAGTCTAAGACACTTGTAGATATTTATAATTCAAACATACGATTAAAGATATAATCATTTTCTCTATTATTAGAGAATTTTATTGTTTGCTCAAAAATTATACTAATCTATGAAAAATATTTATTTATATTTCACTTTATATTTTATTTATATTCGTTTTTTTTATATATTTCATTTGTGATTATTTTTAATACTTAATAAAAATAAATAAGTATTTTGAAATGATTGTTATTTTTAAATTAAAAAAGCAATAGAACTTTTTTGCACAAAATTAATAATATTTTATTATCAATTTTTATTATAATTATTTATTAATTATTATAATAAAAATATAAATTTTCTTTATCAAAAATTGCATTTTTATTTGCAT